CAGGTTAAGCTTTGTTTAATCTGTTCAAACATCTCCTCCCTCCACAGACACAAATCATCAGCCAGTCACAGCTAAACAAGGGCACCGGGTCATCTGGCATTAAGACTGACCCTGAAACTGTTTGCAAGGCAAGAAAGTGCAACGAAACAGTCCGACTTCTAGGAAATAACAAGTTAAGCTCAAATACGGATAAGACTCACGGATGGGAAACAGTTGTGCAAACCATAGACGAGTAATGTTTAACACCTCTCAAAGAAAAACAAAATGATTGGCCGGGATTAACAAACATTCTTAGAGCTTCTAACTGAGCCTAAAATGTGATTTTATGGATTAAGGAAAGTTCGAGAAACTCTGAGCAGAGAAAGGAGCAAGAGTTTTATCTTCAACACAAAAAGTAGTGACAATGATCTAATAGTTAATGCTCATATAATAACCAGTAAAAATAACCTTATCATGCTGATAACACTGCATACTGCAATTATCAAAACTTTCATGCAGTGAACATCTCTGTTGAATAAACTGGAAGCGAGACTCCGGCCTGTTAAAGGTTAGATTGTTGTAATGGAGTGAAGCAGAAAAAGAAAGCAGCATAACAGAGAAATACTTAAACAGAGTACATTAAAACTGTTCTTCAGTAAAGTACTTGAGCAAATGTACTAAGGTGCATTCCACCACTGCTCTGATCCATGCTCTCACTCAGAGTGTTGGGCACTCTCAGATTAACAGTTTATATTTCAGGGGAACTCAGGTTAAAAGGCTCTGAAAGATCCAAGTCATCATTCCTGTTCTGTTTGCATATTTCACATTTTCACTTGTCCTTTCTTGTGGTGAGCGCCGCACTTTCTGCCCTGATTGAGACGTTGTATTCGGTGAGAGAGCTGATGAGACTGACCCGTGCACAATTTAATCTGTAGCATTTAACAGCATTGGAAAGCTGTTTCCCTTATTTTGTATTTACTGTTTGCCTAATACTAAATACTTTAATGTGAAAAAATACTTTTTCACAGTGTGTACATGTATACATTAAACAGTCGTTTCTTCATATTCTGTTGATAGATTTATTTAATACTGAAGGTTTTTGAGACATTTTAAATAACCAGTGCGACACCGACTCTGTCTGTCTTGGTTTCTTTCATATTACTGTGAAATCACTACATGTTAAACATCAACATGCTAGCGTTGTCAATTCAGTTTTTTTCATGTTGTATAATAATCGGAGCCTCTGAAGCAGCTCAAGCTAATTTTACACTGCAGGACACAAACTGATCTTAAGTGGCCTGGAGCAGTGAAACTCCCCTTTCTGCTAGTGTAAAACCATAACATGCATTTAACCCCTGAAATGAATGAACTCAATATAAGGAAAAGAAGTACAATTACAAACAGAGGTCTCTTTTTTCTAATGGCATGCTGCTGTAGCAAATGTAAGAAATCCATCAGCATGACTCTTTGGACAAACAAACAGAAAACGCTGAGATTTCTGCAGTAAATAGTGGAAAAAGGGAGCTTTTCTGGAATTTTATTGTTTGTCTCTAAACATGATTTTTTGATGTTGAATGAATGGGGAAGGTGTTTTTCAGTAGCCAAAGCTGTAAAACTTGTGAAAATACACTTAAAACTCCAAAATTTATACCGTCCTTAACATTTTCCAAAGCCGTCCTG